AATAATGTTAATACAGAACACATCATTCTAGTGACTGTTGACACTACCTTCTATAAAATATACTGTTAATACAGAACACATCATTCTAGTGACTGTTGACCTTACCTTCTATAAAATATACTGTTAATACAGAACACAGCATTCTAGTAACTGCAGTTAATACGGAACACATCATTCTAGTGACTGTNAATAAAATTTACTGTTAATACAGAACACCTCATTCTAGTAACTACAGTTAATACGGAACACATCATTCTAGTAANCACTTACATGTACCAAGGATCTTTGATGATTTCACTGCTGTGTGAACTTAACACTTACCAAGGATCTTCGATGCAAATGTTGCTTTTCGCTCCGACATTTCTTTGAAGCAGAATATCTTCACACAATCCTCAAGTATGACAGCAGCTATGGAATTCAAGCCGGATGATAGGGTGCTTTGAAGTGAAAATAGGAAATAGATATTAACATTAAAGCGACATTAACCTGATATAAATAGGAAATAGTTATTTACATTAAATCGACATTAACCTGATATAAATAGGAATTAGTCATTTACATTAAATCGACATTAACCTGATATAAACAGGAAATAGTTATTTACATTAAAACGACATTTACCCGATATAAATAGGAAATAATTATTTACACTAAAACGACATTAACCCGATACAAATAGGAAATAGTTATTAACATTAAACGACATTAACCTGATATAAACAGGAAATAGTTATTTACATTAAAACGACATTTACCCGATATAAATAGGAAATAATTATTTACACTAAAACGACATTAACCCGATATAAACAGAAAATAGTTCTTTACACTAAAACGACATTAACCCGATATTTTTTTCAGGTTCTGTATATGGTAATATTTACATTTGCACTGCATAGTGCCTAGAAAACTCTACTGGTCTCATTGTAACATATTTTCCAATGAACTACAACGGGGATTAGGTCAGTGTAGTGATACACTGACCTATCAGTGTAGTGATACACTGACCTTATTACCGCCAAGTGGCGATGTTCCGCTGTTTTGTGTCTTAAAATATTATTGTATGACAGTTAAATCGCTAAATGACCACAACATATATTAAAATGGTCACATGTTAGTTTACAAATTGGTAATTGACATATATGCATTTAAATTATAAAAAAAAAATCAATTATTAAATTGATGTGTTTACTGTGGAACTTTCTTGTTTATTGTTTTTGTCGGCCTGGTTGCCCTTGACAACGACTGTGGAATTCGAAACTACCCGGCTGTTCCGAACAATTTACCGCTGACCCAGTCGGTGTGTATAAGAGTTTTAAAACAGCAATTAACAATACTCGCAACATTGCACAACTGATTTTGTTGGTTTGAAATATAAATATAAGGATTGGTTGTCATATTTTTGACGTTTATTGGCGTGTAAACTACATCGGGCTTGCGATATATTTAACATGGTGCGCTAACGCGCACCATTCAATATATCGCAAGCCC